TCCATGGAGTTCGCCATGTTGAATTGCCATGTTTATAGCCCAGAACGGACAAACCAAACACTGGCTACACACAGCCCATTTTCACTTTCAGGTTACTTGCATAAGTATCGCAAAGTAAATATAAATGATCCTGCGATTAACGCAAGGTGAATATTCAGTTGCACAACGCAACATCAGTCTTACAAAGAACCCTTGAAGATCTCCTTTTTAGAATCCTTATTTCTTAAGAGTGTACAAATGCTTAGATTTTGGGCAGAGTATCACTTTAACATCCATCAAGTTAATTTAATGCTAAGGCTGTGTGGAAACATTGGTGAATTTCAGTGCCGAAAACTGTCCCGTTCTCGTTGGTACTTCTGCTTTGGGCAGGATGGCTGCCGGCTTTAAGCGGGTCATGCGGTTTTGACAATTTATTTCATACTGAGTCAAAATGACCTGTACTCATTTAGTGTGGCAACCTTTTGCCCCCATTAATTAATTTCATTCATTATGTTAGAATTAGATGATGAAAATAGAACCTCTTTGCAACGTGCATCACCACTGCTGACCTTCTAGATGCATTTATGTAGGTTTTTGGGTCACACATTCTTAAAAAGGAAAGAAAATTAGGACATCCATTAAGTTTGCTACACTTCTCCCTACTGTAAGAAGAAGAACATTGGGTGAAGTATTTGTGGCTCTGTCCCAGTCGAACCTCTGGGAATAGTTGTTTATCTAATTACACTATTGGATCAAACCAGAAATAAGTTGTGCAGATAATGAGGTTCATAATATGAGCTTTTCCCCATGTTGTAAGTCACGATTAAACTCTGGAAATACATTAAAGAAATGCTAATAGTGTGTGAGAAACAGCAATATTCGCCTATTCGCTTTTTTGTGAATTTTGATGTGAATGACATAAACTTACTACTACTGATACTGATCCCCCCTGAGACTCATTTATAGCCACTGTATATTTATTGCAGCTTTCCTTGTGTACTTCAAAGGACTGTCCTAATTAGTTTGATATGACCCAATAGTTTAACTTATAGATGCACTTTGAAAACTCAAATGACCACACACAGCATAAAAACAAACACGTGTAACTTTCAAGATCCATTTATTTGAGTTGATACAGTACTACAGAGGCATTGTGTTGAGTAGAAATACACCCAAATGGATGAATTAAGACATTTTTACAGGATTTAAGCAACTCTTATTGATTTGTTAAAATACACACTTGGCCACTGACTTCACAATGAGATGATACCACTCTATTTTGAACAAACAAATTATACTTTCTGTGTAGTATGTCCTGAACACAACACACAGTCCAGAAGCAGGCCAAAGCATGAAATGAGTATTTTGACAACAAATTAAATGGCTTGATCACCAATAAATACAAGTATAAAAACACATTGATAATAATTTTCATTATCAAAAAAAAAAGGTCATAAAAGATACCAAAGGCACACGACTTAATCCCCCTTGGCAGTCCAAGATCACCAACAGACAAAAAATAAAATAAAACCAAAACTATGGCAATAGCCAATAATAGTAATGAGCCGTAACGAAAAATAATACTTAAATAACATAATAATACTAATTTATTATTATTGTCATAACAATATCCAGTCAAGTTTTCCTATGATTAGACTTTCTGCTAACTAACAGATATGCACCACTTATTTCCAGTTTGGCAGAGTAAAAGTTTCATCATCAGATTCTTTCCATTGCTTTATTTCCTTTTTCTCCTGATGCTGTTCCAGAATTGTGGACCTCCCCTGCTTTAGCAGAGGTGGAAATGCAATTGAATTCTCTTAGGGTCAGCTATTAATATATTAGTACATATTCTTGCATTTTGCCCTGTTCCAATTAAGTAATAAGAGTTGGTTTGGGGCTTTTCTCACCCATAGGTGAATTAAAACAGGGGAAAACTGCGACAACACCAAATTCAGATCAGTTTTGTCTGTTTCTGGAGAGAGATTCTAATACTTCGAGGAAGGAAGTATTATCTGCCATCACATAAAGCAATATAAAGTTTCTTATATTTTGGAAAATCAAAAACAGAAGCATAATAAAACAAAATACTAACATAGTATAATTTTCTCACTGTAAATCCAGTTGACAATAATGCAATACAAAAGGCAATAAAATGCAATATAATACGCAACAAGTCTTTCATTTGAATCCATACCCAGGACCTTTCCTTCACACGAGAGGAAAACATTCAACATGTGAACTATTTCCTCTGGGTCACTACTGCATGGTTTTCCGTCCACATCATTTGATATTTTGGATGATGTCAGTCACCGATCTCCTACTTTTTGCTGCTGTTGAACACACTTTAAGGCCATACAGAACAGTCACACACTGACTGACCCTCAAGACAAGCTGTATCAACAGCCTCCAGCATTTCAAATAAAAACTCAAAAAGAAAAATAAAACAAAAACGAGAAGGGAAACCAGTGTGGGGATGATTTCATTCACCTATGGGGATTCCCTAGTCAAAGAAAAATCCAAAAGACTCTCATTAGTCCCTGACCTATCCATTCCCCTGAAACATATGAAAACTTCATCACATCTTTGGCATTAAACAAAAAACTTTCCATCTACTCTTTCTAAGCACTTTCTTTACTTTCACCATTCTACATTACAATTCCTTCAGAAAATAAATCTTACTCCTTGACCTTTCCGACAGGAAAGTCCTTTCTAATCTCAGCACCTTTCCATGCGTCACTCTTTCACACACTTTTCTTCTCCCTCTAGCTATAAATTTCTATGCGCTCCCTCTCTCTTACTGTCAAATGAAAACAATAGCTGGCTAATTGTGCTTGCTTGACATAATGGACTAGTATACACAGCTGGAGGGCTGAGCACAGACCGCAGATCCCACCTGTGCTGAGTTGGACTGGGTTTGATAGAGATCTCTAGCACCAACACGTCTCCAACCTTTTGTCTGAGGAATTTGCTGTGTCATCAGCAGGCAAAAAAAAAACAGCTTACTTAGCTCTTTTGAAGAGCTTTGGGTAAAATATTAACTCGTCTGACAATGGAAACCTCCGTCTTTGGCAACAACAAAAAAAAAAAACCCAACAACAAAAAAACAAACAAACAAAAACACAGAATCTCTCACTGAACAGCCTGTTTTATCAGGTAGCCTCGGAAATGTGAAGCAACCATGGTTAAGAGAGCCAGGCACATTCCAGGACTGTGAGGTGGTGTCTGCACCATCTACCTTCACTAAATGTCCCACTAGGCGAGCCCCTCCAGACCTCTGGTGCTGCCAGCAAATCTGTGTTCAACCAAGCCACCTAAACTGCTGACAAACCAAACTATGGACTTAAACAACTGACAAAGAACACAGAGGAGGTCTTTTCGAGGCAGCCTGTAGATCCTGGCATATCTGTGTGTGATTCTACTTGTGGAAGGACTGGGGGGGCGGGGGGGAGGAGACGAGACTGTTTGATCTCAACTGTCTGAGATTGACCTTTGAACCCCAAAACAAGTAAAGCTAGTCAGCTGTGCGCTGAAGGCCCTGGGTCTCTCCACATTAACAAACATCAAAAAAAGCACAACTGGTGACAGGTTGGCCTGGCTTTTCCCTCCACTTTAAGGAAATGACATACATAATTTTTATTATGAATCAAAAAAGGCACTTCCTACATATTCCCTAGTATCATACACATATATAGGACATACGCTTTTATGAAGGTATATTTGCCTGCGTGTTTTACAAGCGCAGACATACTTATATATGCTGAGTATATATATGATTCTCATCACTGAGTAACATAATTATATATGTCAGTTCCACACAAAGAGATGGAGACAAGGAGCTTTAGACTCTTCCAGTAACAGCCAGCACCCACCAGTTTTGCACTTAAAACTAAAAGCTACGAAAATATTAATAAATAATCAGCAATGTCAGTTATTTTTGGAACAAGACCCTGGTTTGTTTCTCTTTTTTTTTTAAAGGAAGTAAAGATCACAAAAGCATATGCTCTGTGTGAGTATTAAGGTGCTTCTGTAAACTCAAACTCAAAATGTGTGGTGTAAAAGAAGAGCCAACCAGTTTCTGGTTGCTGCGTTTGTGATTCTAACTTGCCTTCTTGCTGAATATGTAAACATGTTGAACACAGCAAAGTCTATGGGCGGGCCAAGAAAGCAGACTGGGTGGCATTCTCTCGTGCCAGCTTCTTCTCTCTCTTGTTCACAAAACCCTAACTAAATTTCCTCTGGTCAGAGAAGTGCACCTAAGAGTGTACATCTGTGTGTGTATATGTGTGCATAGACGTATCATTTCCATCGAGATTTTATCTCCATTTGGAAAACCACAACTTCCCAAAAGGTGTATCCCAGTAACACACTGGTCGTTAATGCCACCCGTAGACATCTGTGCACACACATACATACACACAAACAAACACAGTCATGTTCAATTCCCTCTGCTTCTTCTCTCTTTGCCACCCATCTGTTAGGTGAGGTTACTGCTGATGTCCAGGGCTTGCTGGTACACCTGAGTCATGTCCTCCAGGTCCCCCAGCAAGGAGAAGCTGCCATTGTCCCCCGGGGAGCCTTTCGTTTTGGGGCCGCGGCTGAACTTGGGTCCCTGGTGCGATGGGGCTGCCTGGAAGCCCTTGAAGTTGGCGAGCTGCAGCAGGTTTTCGGCTGAGACGCAGGCCCTGATGTTTGGGCGGAGGTGAGGGGTGGAGGGATGCCACTCAGCCCCACTGAGGGAGCTGGGCGACAGGGACAGGCCAGAGCTGTCCTCCCCGACTATGCTGGAGGGCCGACTCTGACTGCGGGACAGACCGGAGTCAGTTGAGGGAGGAGGCTCACCAAGTACTCCAGCCACTGCTGCTGCTGAGGGAGGCCCACTGTATGTGGAGTACTTGCCGTTTCGCTTCAAGATGCCCTTTCTCCCCATCACTCTCTTGGGTGGAGAGGTGGCTAGCAGAGACATGCTGGCACCCCCTAAGAGCTCGGAGGACTCGCTGCGCTCTGGCGAGGAGTAGTACCCTGATTCCCGCTGTTGGTTGTTCTTCAAGATGCCTTTCTTGGGCAGAGAGGGCACCATCTTAGCTGGCGAGCCTCCTCCCAGAGTCGGCTCCTCTTCCTCTCGATCTGGGCTCGAGGCTTCCTCTCCCCCTTCGGCTTGTTGAGGCAGCGCGGCCTGGCCCAACTCCACCTCTTCCAGACTGGCAGACTGCTGCTCTTCAGTAACCCTGGTCTTCAGAATCCCCTTGGGTCTCTTCAGACCTGGTTTGTCCTCTGCTCCACAGTGGGCCTGTCCTGCCTCGACATTTTCTTTCTTGGACTTTTTGGGCCTCTGGCGGAGTAGCTGGGGCATGGCTGCAGCTTTGGCTCCAGAACCACGTGGCTCAGTGCGGTTCTGCCAGTCGATGAAGCGGGCCAGCATGGGCGAGCCTCCATGGTCACGTTGGGTCTCGCAGTCACACACACTGTTCTTCCAGCCCCAGTTTACCCACCAGTGGTTGGCTATGTCCTCCACTGTGGCCCGTCGCTCAGGGTTTACCATCAACATCCAGCGGATCAGTCCACGTGCATCTTACAGGAAATAGAACAAGAACAATCTGTAAGCTGTCTCATACTACACACCACGTGGCATATAAATGCTGTCTATGATAAGATTATATGTTGTTACAGAGCAGTGAGAGGGGAAGTAGACTACCTGAAGCCTGATTATTTTTCTATTGTTCGGTGTAAACCAGAATAATGCATCCTCAGTTAAATAACACAACACAACCAATTTAATACCATGATTGTCAAAACTCAATAATATATAGAAAGAATATATAATAGGAATGATAGCAAAATAGTTTTCTAAATGCTCCAAGAAAATCTAATAAAAAAGCATGTTCCAGTTCCTGAACCAATTAAACTTTAGATATATTAAAAATGAATACATGTTAATATGTTACAAAAATAAAATGGCGTAGTATGACAGGTTTGTAGCTTAGGTGATATAATTGAGTTTCTTTATACTGTCTGGACAAAAAGGGCAACGAGCATTATATGTAATGGATTGTGCAGATGCTACGTTATGTGTACATTGAGAGCACTCTGATCCATATTCCATTCAATAGTTTATAGACCAACGTCTCAAGGGCTTTCAAATGTTTTCTGGAATTTACATAAAGAAGTGAATCCTGTACAATGAATAGGCAGAAAGTCAGGGGTCAGTGGTTTCAATTTCTGACAAATGGTGTACCTCAGTGAGTCAGTGTACCTCTATCTGAGATCCAGCTGAACTAGATTAGCCAAGTATAGTTTATGATATAGTTTTATAAAGGGCACTGGGATCAGGTATGTTTTCCTAGCACAACAAAAAATGGGAGAAATACAAAGGTTCTTGCAGTACCTGAAGACTGAGTGGGCTCTTTGTACTCGCCGTTGCTAATCTGGCGAATGAGGTTCTTGTGGTCTCCCCCATCAAATGGCATGGTCCCATAGACCAGGGTATACAGCAGCACCCCCAGAGCCCAGCTATCCACCTGTTGAAAATAAAAAAAGGTAATAAACTTGCTCATTCAGTCATGGACAGAACACACACTGCTTATCAAATGAGACATATATATTGTGTGCAGCGAGCATATAAAACAAAAAGTTGAGGCGGGTTAGATCTGGTGTTATGTAATGGAAATGCTGTCTTCCCAGTACTGTTTTGATTAGTGATTCATGGCCTTAAAATTAATGTTGTGGAATGAGTTTAGCTCTACTCAACATCAGAGCGAACAGACCTTAGAGTTATGCTCTTTGAGTTTACTTTGACTTTAATAAGCGCCACAATCACTTTTTCACACTACCATTGCACAAGACTATCTCTGCTAAAAGCATTGTGACGCTGCAGTGTACTCTCTCCTGCTCTATCAGGCAGAAGCAAGCACATTCTGACCACCAACCTAATGCAATGTCAATGTGGCTTTCTAAGTAAGCGGTTACATAAGACTTTGTGTCTGGGGCATGAGGAGGTGCAGAGCCATGTGGGAAGCGGTGGGAATGGAAGGGGGTAATGAGTCCGGCAGAGATGGCAGAGTCATGATATCCTTTTCCCTGACGACTCGCTGGAGACAGGATGCCATTCAGTGATCAGCAGATGACTTGTGTGTGTGTGTGTGACAGGGAGGGAAATGTGATGTGTGTGTGTGTTCACTGTGGTTATGGAAGGATGAGATGTCCTGAGGAATGTGCTTTTGATGGTGGTAGCTGAAGCTTTGAGACATAGTCTAGGAAGAGGAAATCAGATAGGGCCAGTTAGGGAGCTAGTGTACTTCCTCTAAGGATCTGGAGCCACATCAAGAATGTTTCACTCTCCTGTTGCCATTGGTCCATTCCCGGGAGCGAGACAGGGCACGCACTATTGTTGTGTTCTATTTTCGTTGCCTGTGTTTGCTGTAATTTGTGGCCTCACCCCAACCAGGGTTCTGTAATTTCGATTGCAATCGGGCTGCTGTAGTTTTTAGCACTCTGGAGTAAATTATAGTGAATTACACTAAATTGAATGGTTGGACTTCAATATCTAAAAATGCAAGTTTTTTCCCCCTCTGTTGCTTTGTTTTATGTAACTGATGCAATTTTAAAGACAACGCCCTTCAGAATGACTCTGGAATTGCCAGAAATGTGGCTTTGGGAAGACATTTTCACTCTTTCTTTCACCAAAACTATTTGACTTTGACCATGAGCGTGTTTTTGAGGCTGTGGAGCTTGTTCCGATTCCATTAAGATGAAGGAAAAGAGAGCTAAAACTATCCTCCAGTCCCTCACTTCAAAGGACCCGGACATCGTAGGAAGGGGAGGACAGGGCAGGGATGCAGACAGTATTTGAGCTGACCTACTGTGGAGTTGCAAGAGAGACCTCCCTTTGACTGGAGACTAATAGTAATCCCATCAAAGAAACAGAAAGAAAGCCCTATCCCCCTCTTTGTGTATGGCCTATGTGATGATGATAATCACTAGTGAGATAATAATAATGAAAAGATCTAGGGGAGGTTCACACCAAATTTAACAGCGAGGGAGGACAATAATGATGGTGATTAAAAAAAATGGATGACATAAAAAGGAAATCATGTCCTAGAAATTAGGTTCACAGACAAACAGCTGCAGTTTTAGTCATTGTCATTGTTTGGTTCACTGGAGCTCACCTCTGGGCCACGGTACGGTCTACCATTGACGATCTCTGGTGAAGCATAGAGCGGACTGCCACAGAAGGTTTGCAGCAGCTTGTCCTTATGATAGAGGTTGGACAGCCCGAAGTCAGCAATCTGTGGAAAGAGGGCGACGTGTGAGTTTTACACTGACCATGATCATTTAAAGTGCTGTGGGTAGTGCATGACATCAGATCGAGGGGCAAACTTACCTTAATATTACAGTTTTCATCCAGTAGCACATTTTCCAGTTTCAGATCCCTGTGCACCACTCCATTCTAAAAGACAAAGAAAAAAAAAAGTAATGATTGATTAATCTATCAATGCATTATTCATGAGAGATTGATCCAAGTAATAAACAGTCCATTGTATTAAGAGATGATTTACTCTGACAAAGCTAGCTTGTGGCTCTCGGGGGAAATCAAGGCAGCCTGTTGGTCTAGTACTCTTTAATTGGTCCTGTCCCCTCCGGGGTCTTTATGCTGACATCTGCTGTGATTTTCCTTTTAAATTGACTCACATGTGTCACATAAACATGAGCCTGTAATTACCACCCTGTATGAATGATGTTCTCACAACATCTTGGGATTAAAAAACAAATATGCTGTTAATGCCTGGGTTTTAAAAACCCTGGAATTAACATGTGGTATGCAGACAGACAGAACCCAGCTCAGATGTGGAGAAGTGACTTCACCCATCACTCCACCCCCCATGGTTGCGCTCTGCATAGCAACTCTCATTGGTTGTTGCATAGCAGGGAGCTCATGTTCACATGACCCTGATTGGTGGATACAAGGACGAAATGGTTACTTGCTTGTTGTGTCAGTGACTCATGCCACCCCACCCTGAGGGAGGTTGTGCTTGGTAGTGATGATTCATCATTTATGGCTGTCTGGGACTCTCCTATCTGAGGACCATGACATCATCCCTATCTCCAGCTGGGAAGAAGATGACAAGAAGGGGGGGGGCCCATCCAAACAAGCCCTGGGACCTTGGGGTTTTGATGGGAGTTAGTGAGGTGTGGAACAGGGGTTGAAATGGGTGTGGCTGGAGCTAAATCTCTGGGGAAAAGCTTTGGGGGTATCTCGGGACATCCATCAGCGTGTCAGCAGATGAGACATAATTAATGCAGGGTCTGTTTGGTGCACTGTAATCGGAGTATAAGCTTGAATTAAACTGGCCTGTGTTCCATCTTCACTCAGAAACAGATGACTCCCTTAAACCAGTGTGCCAAGAAAAGCATACTGTGTAGGGCCTGCAGATTAACTGGCTATATGGCTGACTGTGGAGGTGCATGGTTAATGTTACAATGAACATGCTGCAGCCTGGAAAACAAAGTCTGGGTGTGTGTGAGAGAGACAAAGAGAGATTTAAAGAGACCAGGAAAATGAATGTGCGTGTTTTTCTCTCCTTATAGTACGGTATGGGCTTTCTCACCTTGTGGCAGTGGTGCACGGCGGAGACTATCTGTCTGAAGAAGTGTCGCGTTTCCCGCTCGCTCAGGCGCCGGCGCTCACTGATGTAGTCGTAAAGCTCACCCTTGCTGGCGTACTCCATCACAATCACGATCTTATCCTTGTTCTCAAACACTGACAAATGATAAGAAAACAATTGGAGTCCATTAATATCTACTTTCAGGAAAATACATTCATATAAATGGCGAAGAGAGAAGAGAGGAGAACTCATAAAGTCAATCCAGGTTCATTTTATCATGTTAAAATCACAAATGGACATTGTTATGTAAAAAGCAGAGTAAACCAGTTCCACCCCCCCCGCCTTAGTTTTGGAGCAGGAATCTAAATTCCAGAGGAGCAAATAACATCTCTACACTTCTCCCAGGGTTACATCACCCAAACCCCACCTCATGTGTCTGGCTCCTTCACAACATTACAGGGAGGGGCTGTTAACTCAATCAAGCCCACTCCTCAGAGACCAGAGCGAGTGGAGAGCAGTGAAAAGAGAGCGAAAGCAGGAACCAAATGAAAGAGAGAAGGTAAGCTTCACAGACAGTGGGCAAAGAGGGTGTCAAGCGATGCACTTGGCATGTCACTCTTAACCACCATACTGAGTGTCCACCTGATATGTTGTGTGATCTGAAAATATCACATGAATTATTGTGCAACAGTTTATTATGGCAACATGGTGCAACTTCCCTTCTCACAGCAGAATTGAAATAATTACTTAGAAAAAGTAACGCATTACTCATTAGTAATTCAAAACTCAACACAGGTAAGAACATCCTCCTTTTATTTAACTAAATATTTAACTGTAATGTCATGTCTTTTTGTTTGTGAATATTAATGGAAGCCAATAAATACTATGTCACTGTTCTTCTGTCTTGTGTTTACTTATCATCAAGTAGTGACAATATACTGTAACTACCCTTTCACATGACCAAAACAAGACTAGGAAACAATTCTGCAAAGTTTATCTTCAGTCTGACTTTAAAAAGAGCCAACAACAAGTTCACATAATTTTTACATAAACTAACAGGATCACTTGAATTAAAATGATTACTTTTTACAAATCTGGTGACTGGAAAAAGTAATGTTATTACAGTTGTATTACTGTGATGCATTACGATCCAACTGCAGTCACCAAACATATCATTCTGTGTCAGTATTTAGCCTTCTGGTGTATAATTTCAACTTGGCAACATACTTCTCTCCCAGCGCCTTGGCATGAAGGGAATGAAAATGGTTAGGCAGAGAGGGAAGCAGAGAGAGAAAGACAAAGGAAATACTGAGGAGATGACAACAACACAGTCAGCCATGTTGCTCCGTATTGTGTGGGTTGATTTTCCCACACAGCAGGGTCACTGGGGGTGAGGGCCTCTGCTTTCTGCACCCTTGAGTGAGCACCTTCATAGTTTGTCACACTACTTTCCTCGCCCTCCTCCCAGGGTCCTTTTAAATATATAATCCTCCACAAAAACACACAGTTGCTGAGTGATGGTAATGCTCCCTGATTGTGACCGTCTGTCTGCTCGGGAAGTAACAGACGGGACATGAGCCAAGAACCCGCGAGGGCAGAACAGATCCAGCCCTCTGATTGGTGGACAGAGTGGTGACCTGTGGTGACACTCACGGTGATCCGTGGTGGGGTTGTGCTTAGAGAGCCAATTCTCGGCTTGTACTCCCATTTACCTTTGACCCCTGGTGGTGAAGTAATTACCTGGCTTACATAACTTGGGTTTGTTACAGCCCGCTGGGTACGCCAGTCAACACTACAGCCTTGCTGTCACTCATTGGGCTTTTGTTCACAGGTCAGGCCCTCACATCTGACTAATTAGCACCCATTGTCCTATTGCCAGCACTGATGACAGACCACTGTTGCACACTTGCATGGGGTGGCAAGAGGCAAAGTGTAATACAGAAGAGTGGTGGAATACTGTTGATGCAGACAATAAACAAGCAAGGACTGAAAAACACTTTTTGATTTAGGCTTTTTAATGCTGATTACCTCAGCAGGTTATTTCTTGAGTTGGTTTGTCTTTACTAAAATGAGCTACCACAACAAAAGACCTTCAGAGTTTAAATGACTATCTAGGCTTATGTCACCTTTAGAGAATGCAGTATAAGGAAAGCAATAAAAAATGTGGCTCTTCACTCACAGCAGGGTGAATGGTTTTATGTCTGTTATTTCACCTCCTTATTTCCCTTTTCCCTCATAAAGGAATAGTTTGACATTTTGGGAATTACACTTTCTTATACTTTCTGGCTAAGAATTAGATGAGAAGATCCAAACCACTCTCATAGCTGTATGGTAAATGTGACAGTACAGCCAGCAGCAGACTATTTCTTGGCTGGGAGTTTAGAAAAAACTCCCATAGTTCGGTTGAGCTAACCAGCTGCTGGCTGTGGTGTCATATTCACTGTACAGACATAAGTGGTATTGATCTTCTCATCCAGTGCTCAGAAAGAAAGCAAATAAGCGTTTTTCCCAAAATGTCAAACTATTCCTTTAACTTGTGTTTTTTCAGGCTCATCGTTACAGCATCAGTTACTATATGTATGTATATGTATATGTATGTATGTGCTACTAACATTTGAGTTGGATGTATATATTTGTTTGCATTTACAGCATTCTTTGGGTTTGGCTGTTTGTTTTAAAAAGGAGGGCACTAGGATACTTAGTTATGCCTGAGGAGCGACGAGCAAAATCCGCTTTTAAATGCCCTGCACAGCATGCTGATGGATGCAGAATGTGAGGGAGTGGTAAAAATCAATCTTCACACACACATCTGGTTCAGCTTTGCTTCACACAAGGCAGTTAGCAAGGGCTGTTGAAGAGGGTGTTGCCGGATACACAAATCTCGCAGCCTCCTATATATCTCTAAAGCAAGGCTGGGTGGAGGCCAAGCCACAACAGTAAACACCGGGTTTGAGGAGAAAGAAAACGCGAGAGCAATGAGTTTGGTCGAGTTTGTTGGTGGAGTAGGCTTCTTATAAAGGAAGGCAGCACACATAGAAACACCATACAGCCTCCTTGGAGTTTCTAAAGCTGGGTTTTCTTTTAATCATTCTCCTACAAAACACATAAAACCCGACTGCACTTCAGCCCTCCAGCTGACTCCTGGCACGTTCCCATGACAAATACTGATGTTTGTCACACATTCACATTGCAGATAACAACGTGGGGACTTTGAAACTGAAGGACAGTGATTAAACCAGTTTGAGCAGTGGCACACAACTATTGTGCCAGGGCAGCTATCCTGAAAAGGGCATTGAAACTGTTGCTTTGTTGACATAGACAAAAATAATCACCACGAGTCACAAATCATATGAAATCGACTCACACTGCTGCGCCTTGTGACTTTAATTGCCTGCACATAGGCCCGCGCTACATTATAAGGGATGATTAATAGCGAGCAATATGTTGAAAGAATTCAATGGGAATTGTTCAACCTTTACACTCGCCATTAATTCTAATCTATGTTTTTTCCAGTGAGGTTAAGGTCATTCAAAAGGACTCATATCTAAAAAAAAGAGTAAATATGCAAGCCATTTAAGACGGCCTTGAAGGCTTTGATATTAAGAGAGTAGCTTCCTGGGGTAGATATATGTTGACGTTGCTCCAGGGAAGGCTTAAGGCCTTTCCTCCCTCTGCATAACAGTGGACAGGAGTCAGACAGGGTGCAGGCTTGGGTGACTGAGGTCAATCCAGAGTCTCCCTAGTTACACACACACACACACACAAAACCATTAACAGAGGCTCATACATAGACACAAATATACAAGGACTTATGCAGACACACACATGTGCAAACACACACACACACACACACACACAAATGTACACAAGTACAGTCTGGTTCGCAGCTGCAGTTGTCTCTAAGTATCAGCAGATGTCTGGCCCTGAGATCAAGACCAGAAAAGACAAGAGATGAGACCTCTTAGATGTGGGAGAGGCAATCCCTTAGAATACCACCCCTCTTACACACACAAACTTTCAACACACACACACACACA